TATATTGTTAAGGATATTTTTATTTTTTTAGAAATATGAGATTTGAGTTCCATTTTTGTGTTCAAAAAAAAATATTTATTGACAATGACGAGAGAATTCAAATCTAGTTAATTTTTTTAGGACTCAACATGTCACTTTATCGCTAGATTAAATTTTTATTGATAAATTTATCATATAATAATATTGTCTATAATGTGTAACATCTAATTTTTTATTATGAAAGCATTTGTGTTTTTTATGAGATGATTTAGTAATTAAAAACTTAAGTTTTTATATTGGAGATTTTAAATTTAAGTTTTTTAAAAAAATTTATTGGTTAATTCATCATCTCTGCAAAAAAAAAATAAATAAATAAAACAAAAAATCATAGAGGCATCTGTTGACTTCGAGAAAGGAAGTTGGTTTTATCCATTTGGGATCTTTCGTTATTGTAATCAGATGTTGAGGGCATCCAATTCATGCATGAACTAGTAAAAAGCAAAGAAAACAACAAACAATATTGTTCAAAAACACAGCTAGCAGATCGATCGATAGTAGATCTCTAGAAAAAACTATCACCATCGTCCATCGATTCAATTAAATCTCAGATATCATATTGAGACTGTTGATCTCTATGTAAACACCCATCTATCCAGAAGAAATTTCTAGACACACAGATGTTGTTCGATTTCAGTGAGAGACAGATGCCCATGTACATGAGGTCCCAGATATCATCCATTTCTTTGCTTTTCTTTTTCCCTTTTAGCGTGCATTTAAAAAAATCAAAAGAAAAATGTGAAGGAACCCGATTGGAGAAATCTCTACAGAAAAAAACCCTTATATATGGAAAGCTCATTTATAATTATTTTTAAATTTAAAAAATGAAGTTTAGATTACACCAAATTGTACTATTTAAATTAATAGATGGGAGACAAATCCTTTGATATTGATGATTATCTCTTATTTGTTGAACTCTTATCTCTTTTCTTTAATTTTTACTTTATGGTTGTGAAAAAAAAAAAATTAAACTCCAATTTACCCCTTCTTAGAGTGCATTGAGCCAAAACTATCCTGTGGTTTTTATTTTTCAATCCACCAATACAAACCAAACTGCAAAATAAAAAAACTACTTAAATTTTTCTTGACTTTTTAATTTTGTCATCATCAAAACTTTTATTGAAACAAATTAAAAATAGAGGATCTTCATAATATTAATTTCTGTGTCCTCATGTATATATGGTCATTAAAACGGAGGACCCAGAATTTTCATTTTTAAAGTGCACTCACTGACTTATTAATCCTGCATTTTGTGAGCATGTAATATATTCGAAATGGTAGTCATTCAAATTAAAATTGGATTGGTTATTAAAATGTGCATGGGTGGACTACTAATTAATAGTAAGATCCATAAATTAGATATAGAGAGATAGAGACGAATTGTTCACAAAGAAAAGAAAAAAAAAAGAGGAGAGATATAGACAAATTAGAAGGACCAAGGATAAGGAGATAAAAAAATGAAAAAGAAAGGACAAGGATGATGTAGTGTGTGGGAGAAGGCGAACAATGTCGACAATAGAGGCGCTGGCAGTCGCAAAAGGATATAAAGGAGAAAATGCAAGCAAGGGCGGATCGTGGCATCCCACTTTGTATATATTAGGGTTTTGGGGGACAGTGAGGTAGGTACAATTAAGTTAGAAAATTTTATAATAAAAATATAATAAAAAATATATATATCTTAAATGTAGAAAAAAATTATATTATTTATTATTAATTGATTTTAAATTAAATAAAAATCTTATGTTAAAACTCATATACGTAATTTTTATATAATATTAAAGTTCAAATTCCATTTCTAAAAAATCTATAAGAATTGACAAACCGAGTAGAGTGGCATATTAAGCCATGTTTCTTAAATAGAAACAAACTACTAAACCTTACGTTAAAAACCGCAGGCATGCTCAATTTTCACACATATTGTGCAAATTAATTGCTTCTTAATTATTAACATTTCCGTCACAAAATAATATAATAATCGTTTTTTATTCAAAATTCATTTTAGATTAATTGTTGTAATTATATATATATTTCAAGAAATACAAATATACATTTTTTAATTCAACCTTATTGTTATCTAATCACTTAAATTACTCATCATATTAAACATAAATTTTCTCTTAATTTTTATCTAACTCTTCTTCTTTTTTTTTGCCTGGCCGACTATCTAAATTTTATTAAAGACAATTTAAGTAAAACTAAAAATTTTCTCCAAAATTTTTGTACAAGAAAAAAGTAAGAAAAAAATAATTATTGTTATTACGGGACAGCATGTAGTCTTCCTTTCACAAGAAAAGACAATACAGCTAGGTGTGTTGAGGCTGAGCAGCATCATATCTATTATATACTCTTCACCTTTATATATTTGCTTTGCTTTACTAGATACCTAAACACATAACGATTACCCCACGCTCTGTCCCATAGCTAAAAGGGGGCAGAAAAGAGGATTCTCTCGATTTTGTTTATTAGGTCCTGTTCAAATTAAATTTATATATACCCAAAAA